CCTTGTGTTCCACAAATGTAGTTTGGATGTGTTTACGTGTAGCATTGCAGATTACCTGGCTAAATCCAAGGAACACATGAGCAGGTTGGCAGATAATGTCTTGGACGCTTTGACCAGTGGGGAGCACTCAAGGCAGCTGAAAGAGACAGAAACTGTAAGAAACCTCACTACACACTTATTCATCTGCATGGCGAAATGAATGCATGATATACCACTTAAATTATATACTGCGTAATATCTATTTTGAATTCTTTTCAACTGGGCAGCTTACTCTTGATTATTTCTGGTCTTGATAGGATGATTTTTGTTCTCCTCAGGATAATCTGCCCATGGAAGAGCCTGCAGAGAAAGTAGACACAACAGATGATGCTGAGGTAAAATGCTCTCGTGTCCTCAGAAAGTGCATACTAGTGTATAGCTCACTTGAGTGGAAGTAAAGACACAAACCTGCTATTTAAAGGCAGCGTCAGAACCGCAGGCTCTCTGCTCTGCAGCAGCTGTGTCAACAATACCAACCAACTTTCACACTAATGGAAAGAATATTTGCCCAGACACACACAAACACACTCCCCCCTGTCGTTTTTGACTTCCTCCTTCACACACACTAATCTGTGTGTGTGTGAGGGTGCTGTAGACGTAGAGGGAAAGGTAAGCATGAGTCGTCTATGAACATACTGTAGCATTAGTCCGTGTTTGGAAGGCCGTCTTTGACTGTGGTTCTGCTTGCATACCTTAGCAGGGTGGTGCTACTGTTCAACACTGTTTTTAGCAGTCCAAATTTCACATATAGCATAGGTTAAAACTATGTATTACACACTAGCCAAGACAGCTGGGTTGAAGAAAGAACAAAGAGGGATTTTATCTAGTGATTCCCACCCAGATGTTCTATATGTGACCATTTAAGTCGCTGGGGTATATTTGTAGCAATAGCCAACAATACATTGTATGGGTCAAAATTATTGATTTTTCCTTTATGCCAAAAATCATTAGGATATTAAGGAAAGATCATGTTCCATGAAGATTTTTTGTACATTTCCTACCATAGATATATCAAAACTAAATTTTTGATTAGTAATATGCATTGCTAAGAACTTCATTTGGACAACTTTAAAGGTGATTTTCTCAGTATTTAGATTTTTTTGCACCCTCAGATTCCAGATTTTCAAATAGTTGTATCTTGACCAAATATTGTCCTATCCTAACAAACCATACATCAATGGAAAGCTTATTTATTCAGATGTATACATCTCAAATAAAAAAGTCTTACAAATAAATAAAATTATGCATAAATAATGCAAACAAGTCACTGGACATCATTACACGTGTAAAGAATCAAAATGAATGCGCCATAGATCAATAAAACGGAATAGCCTCTGCACGGACAATAATTAAATGATTTTAATTACTAAACCATATTGTTGATGAAAATAATAAGAGAACAATACAAGTGGTTGTTGTTATTAATAATGTATCGATGATTTTGAAAAAGTAACAAATTAATACCACTGTTTTAAATAGCAGCCGTTGAGCTGCGCGTGCTGAAGCTGAAGAGCTGAATGAACATGGTAAACTGAAGCGTTTTGCTGGCAGCTTATTTAACTCAAGGAAATGCATCCTGAGATTAATATTAATACAACATAAACATAATATTACAACTTATATATGTACAAAATTATGCAGTTATTGCGTGCTATAGTCAGAATGTGTGATCCTGTTGTGGATGCGCTCTTCCCATAACAACGCGCTGAAACACGGCAACTAAACCCAAAGAATTCCCAACGTTTTATTATAATAATGTTCTCATTAGAATGTTATATACATGACATTCCCAATCATAGTTATTAATGTTGTGCACTGCTGTTTGGGCTGCGTGTGCTGAGCTAAAGATGATCACCGGTAAACTGAAGCGCTCTTTTTAACTTAACCAAACGCATTCTATATGAGATAAATCAGATATACATCAAATAAACACAATATTACAACGTACAATTGCACAAAAGGCTGCAAACGAACAGCGCGCATCTGAAGTGTCTCTGAAGGAAATAATGCATTATTTATCGGCTTTAAGATATCGGCCAAATTTTCTTATCAGGCCGATACCGATAACAGAAAAAATGAGCCGATATGGGCCGATACCGATATGGTGGCCGATATATCGTGCATCCCTAAAACTATGTATTACACACTAGCCAAGACAGCTGGGTTGAAGAAAGAACAAAGAGGGATTTTATCTAGTGATTCCCACCCAGATGTTCTATATGTGACCATTTAAGTCGCTGGGGTATATTTGTAGCAATAGCCAACAATACATTGTATGGGTCAAAATTATTGATTTTTCCTTTATGCCAAAAATCATTAGGATATTAAGGAAAGATCATGTTCCATGAAGATTTTTTGTACATTTCCTACCATAGATATATCAAAACTAAATTTTTTATTAGTAATATGCATTGCTAAGAACTTCATTTGGACAACTTTAAAGGTGATTTTCTCAGTATTTAGATTTTTTTGCACCCTCAGATTCCAGATTTTCAAATAGTTGTATCTTGACCAAATATTGTCCTATCCTAACAAACCATACATCAATGGAAAGCTTATTTATTCAGATGTATACATCTCAATTTCAAAAAATGATTGTGCTTTGTAAAATCTACAAAATGGAAATTAACAAATAATATGGCGGTCAGTACATTAAAATAACTAATTGTTATTAAAGCCATTTTATTTATTTTGTATTTGATTTGTCATATGAACAATAATACATTCTGTGTGTAACAGGTGCGAACACTGAACTGAATGCAGATTCACTGTAATATAACTCAAAATAGTAAAATCACCTTCCATGCACTTGATGGACTTCTCTGTGCAACAATAAACATAGAGATACAATACCATTCAAAAGTTCAAAAGAAAAGAAATTGGAACTTTGGTCAAAAATGACACTTACAGCATTTATAATGTTCAATCCATGCCCACCTCGTCATGCTTGTTTGTGTAGGTTGTTGTGTCAGAGCCCTGCAGTGGTGATGGTGTGACGGCTCTTGGTTCTTTGGGTTTGAATCCTGACCTGCTTCCTGAGAACTTCGACTCGGAAGGTAAAATCCCATTATTAAAATGTTTAGTTTGAAATATGGATCATAAATCTTTTAGACATTTTATGTGTGATCAAACTATGGAAATCAAGGCCCCCAAGTTTTTTTTTATTTTTTTTTTCCCTTCCAGTTTATTAATGAACTATTTTCTGGAGACACATCTTTCATGTGTATTATGCTGAATGAATTCATAATACTCCTCCTCTTTCAGCAGTGGGATGGAACGTGTCACATCAATAACACATGTGAACCCCTTTCCCACCTATTAAACAGACTGATTTACCTCCATTAGAAGCAGAGCATTTCCAGCAGAAGCTGGATGAGACGACAGTGTTGCTGAGGGAGCTGCAGAAGGTTCAGAAAGAGAGACTGAGCGCTAAACAGCCGCCAAACATCATCTGCCTACTGGCTCCTACTGCTAAAGAGCTGCAGCTTGGTACGTTCACACACAAACACAAAAGATGACCTGTGATCACTGCTCTCACTCTTTCAGATACTAGACAAACACTTACTGGAAGGGATGTTTTTTTCCTTACTCAAGAAGTTTTAGTGAGTCAGTATTGTTGCACATTAACAGATCTGTGGGTTTCAGCAGCTGTTTAAAAGCAGATTTTGTACAGTTTTGATAACCTCTAACCCCCACCATCCTTCTTGCAGCGGAGAAAGTTACGGGTAACCTGGCCCAGCTGACCAGTCAGGTGACCCCCGGTGACGTGTGCAGTGTGTACGGTATCAGAAAGGCCATGGGTATCTCGCTACCTAACCATACTGCACAGGATTCGTTCACACACCTGACCACAGGTACCACTAAGCACAAGGAATGTTTAGGACATTCGGCTTGGTCTTTTATGAGTTTGTGTTTGTGAAATAACTGTTATGACCGTGCTTAGGAAACTATTTATCTAAATACATGTGTCTGTGTTTCAGTGGGAGATATAACTGAACCCATGGAGGGAGTGTGTTGAGATCCTCCATCATTGCAATCTATCAGTTCTGCTTATTCCATGTCATCCCTCAATGGTGCTGTTTCTAATTTACTTTTCTGTTTCATTAAATAAGCATCTTTTTAAAGCATTTTGTGTTTCCATTCTTAAGTATAAAAAGCGAGTAATATAGAAATAAACAGTTCATTTAAAGGCATAGTTCACTCAAAAATGAAAATGTACATACTTTACTCGGCACACAAATGAAGATATTTTCTCATCATTTTTGTCTTTCCACTGAAAAGTCCACACAACCAAAACTTTACCACTAAAAAAAAAAAAAAAAAAAGATGCTGCGAAAGTAATTCACATGAATTGAATTCACTCGAGTCTTCACAAGAGCACATTTAATTTAGGATTTTAATCACATAGAAGCACATACATAAATCTTTTCAAATATAGCAAATGGAAGACCTCATTTGTTCTCGTGCATCAAAAGGTTTACAGTTTCCATTTACCATATGTGACCCTGGACCACAAAACTTGAAGTCTTAAGTCGCTGGGGTATATTTTTAGCAATAGCCAAAAAAATATTGTATGGGTCAAAATGATCGATTTTTCTTTTATGCCAAAAATCAAGATATTAAGTAAAGATCATGTTCCATGAAGATATTTTGTACATTTCCTACCGTAAATATATCAAAACTGAATTTTTGATTAGTAATATGCATTGCTAAGAACTTCATTTGGACATCTTTAAAGGCGATTTTCTCAGTATTTTGACTTTTTTGCACCCTCAGATTCCAGTTTTTCAAATAGTTGTATTTATTAAAATGTTTAGTTTGAAATATGGATCATAAATCTTTTAGACATTTTATGTGTGATCAAACTATGGAAATCAAGGCCCCCAAGTTTTTTTTTATTTTTTTTTTCCCTTCCAGTTTATTAATGAACTATTTTCTGGAGACACATCTTTCATGTGTATTATGCTGAATGAATTCATAATACTCCTCCTCTTTCAGCAGTGGGATGGAACGTGTCACATCAATAACACATGTGAACCCCTTTCCCACCTATTAAACAGACTGATTTACCTCCATTAGAAGCAGAGCATTTCCAGCAGAAGCTGGATGAGACGACAGTGTTGCTGAGGGAGCTGCAGAAGGTTCAGAAAGAGAGACTGAGCGCTAAACAGCCGCCAAACATCATCTGCCTACTGGCTCCTACTGCTAAAGAGCTGCAGCTTGGTACGTTCACACACAAACACAAAAGATGACCTGTGATCACTGCTCTCACTCTTTCAGATACTAGACAAACACTTACTGGAAGGGATGTTTTTTTCCTTACTCAAGAAGTTTTAGTGAGTCAGTATTGTTGCACATTAACAGATCTGTGGGTTTCAGCAGCTGTTTAAAAGCAGATTTTGTACAGTTTTGATAACCTCTAACCCCCACCATCCTTCTTGCAGCGGAGAAAGTTACGGGTAACCTGGCCCAGCTGACCAGTCAGGTGACCCCCGGTGACGTGTGCAGTGTGTACGGTATCAGAAAGGCCATGGGTATCTCGCTACCTAACCATACTGCACAGGATTCGTTCACACACCTGACCACAGGTACCACTAAGCACAAGGAATGTTTAGGACATTCGGCTTGGTCTTTTATGAGTTTGTGTTTGTGAAATAACTGTTATGACCGTGCTTAGGAAACTATTTATCTAAATACATGTGTTTTCTGTGTTTCAGTGGGAGATATAACTGAACCCATGGAGGGAGTGTGTTGAGATCCTCCATCATTGCAATCTATCAGTTCTGCTTATTCCATGTCATCCCTCAATGGTGCTGTTTCTAATTTACTTTATTAAATAATTAAATAAGCATCTTTTTAAAGCATTTTGTGTTTCCATTCTTAAGTATAAAAAGCGAGTAATATAGAAATCATTTAAAGGCACAAAAAAAAAAAAAAAAAAAGATGCTGCGAAAGTAATTCACATGAATTGAATTCACTCGAGTCTTCACAAGAGCACATTTAATTTAGGATTTTAATCACATAGAAGCACATACATAAATCTTTTCAAATATAGCAAATGGAAGACCTCATTTGTTCTCGTGCATCAAAAGGTTTACAGTTTCCATTTACCATATGTGACCCTGGACCACAAAACTTGAAGTCTTAAGTCGCTGGGGTATATTTTTAGCAATAGCCAAAAAAATATTGTATGGGTCAAAATGATCGATTTTTCTTTTATGCCAAAAATCAAGATATTAAGTAAAGATCATGTTCCATGAAGATATTTTGTACATTTCCTACCGTAAATATATCAAAACTGAATTTTTGATTAGTAATATGCATTGCTAAGAACTTCATTTGGACATCTTTAAAGGCGATTTTCTCAGTATTTTGACTTTTTTGCACCCTCAGATTCCAGTTTTTCAAATAGTTGTATCTCGGCCAAATATTGTCCTATCCTAACAAACCATGCATCAACGGAAAGCTTATTTATTCAGCTTTCAGATGAAAATGTACCCTTATGACTGGTTTTGTGGTCCAGGGTCACATATTTGATGTGCTGTATGTATGTGCGTTTATCAATGTTTATACTTAGTTTTTTGAAGATTAATGTCAGTCTTATGGGGTTGTAATGAAATGAGGGTGAGTAAATGAACAGTAGTAGCATGGGTAGCATTTGTAAATGCTTGAATAAAATACGAAATGGTTTGAAAATTCTAGATTTAACATGAGAGCAGTTGACAGCGGCTTGTTCTCTCTTCTAGATTCACAAATCCTATCATGCTTTGGGAGAATCATGTATAAACCTTAAAGGAAATGAAACCAAGTCCTCTGAATGTTGTTACGTGTCAGCACTGATGCTTTGATTTAAAGCCAAACTAAAGGTTTTTTGTTGTTGTTTACAAGGAATCATGGGCAATTCTAATCGCCTTCATGTTTGGCAGTGCTAGATTTATATAACATCAAATGAGAAACATTTGCAAATACACATTTTAAATTAAAAGTAATATTCCAAGTCTGAGATCTTCAGTAAGGTTCTTATCCTTGCAGCACTGGGAAATCATGGTGGTTCAAGTTTCACAATGACCTCTGGAGATTTTCAACTGTGGTAAGGCAACAAATCATAAATCTGTGATAAATTAACTTGCTATAAACATATAAAGTGTAAAATGATTTATTCTGTAACAATGCATACAAAACAGAGGAGACGGCAGGCACTCCTCACAAACACTGCGGTACAGAAAGACAGCGCAGAATCTCAAACCATGGAAATTCAGTCACTGTAAAACTCAGAGGGCTGAAAACCCAGAGAGGCGCGTAAGATTGAACATTTATGCCTATGGCTTCATCAGACAGACACTTCCCACTTTCACCAAGCATTCTCACAGAACAGAAGCAGAGACCATCTGAGCAAATCAATTTACTGCAATGTAAGCTAAGATGCATGAATACATCCAGCAGCGAATTTACAACTTCAGATGAGTGAAGCCACAGAGCCATTTGGTCACGATCTAAGAAAGATGATGGGAAAGCGATGAAAGCACACTTTCACTTAAAGTTAATTGAATTTCAGTCATTGATATTTTTTCCTGGTATATGTAAACATTTCTTCAGTTTTCGTTTGTAGCACGTTACGAAGCTAAGGAAGGCTCATCTCCAACATTCACAATCTCAACTCAAAGGCAACAGCAAATCAACACTGCTTGTCAATATTTAGCATTCAAAACACTTGGCAGTTGTTTTTAAAGAAAACAAACCAAAAAATAAAATTAAATCATCCACAGTATGTAGATTCAAGCAACAAATGGCATCCACCATTTTGTTGGTCCAAAAGTTGACAAAGGTTTAGAATAAGATACATATTATTTTAAATGACTGAAGAAATTCTAGATATCTAAACGTCTGCGATGGTGGGTTTGTGTGGGTCACGTGTTCCCTCTGCCTGCAAGCCAAAACCGGCCGACCAGCTCAGTCATCCCAAATCAGTCTAAATCCAACAGGATCAAGGCAACTATGACAGCAGTACCCAGAAAGTCTGAGAGCAATACCGAGAACCAGGATTTTCCTTCACCGAGCTCAGTTACCCACTGTCTGTGGTCGGTTTCCCATAAGAGGATCGCAAAGTTCAGCTTGTGTTTGTGTGAGATGCGTGTATGTACAGAATATGCTGCTGTATGTCTGAGAGTTTCAGTTCTCCGAATGCTGCCAAAACAAACTCCAACATGTTAGAGTTAGAAAGAATGTGCAGTTCTTTAGACATGCTCTAAAGAAACAAATCCAGTAGCAAAAACATTCTTAAATGAAAAAAAAGATCACATATAGATTCCGGAGTCTGTGTGTACGTGCATGTGTGTGTGTATGAAGCTGTCAGCGGCAGAGGCTTCAGTCTCAGCTCAGACCGATGCCCTGCTGTTTGCTGGAATCTGTGCACACAAAGAAGGTTTTGAGCTCTCCTTTGCCCTTCACATTGATCAGGCCACGACACTCACATGAATAGCCCAGCTTCTGCAGGACATCAGACGTCTCCTCTGTTACCTGCAACACAAACATGATCACCATTAGGGGTGTGCCATATCATACTGTCCACGATAATACCGGTATAAATTTTTACATGATAAAAAAAGTGTCATATCGCAATATCAATGATATAGTGACGCAATGACGTATGGCAGATATACGTTCCCTAGCGTGCACAACAACACCACAAACCCAATAGGTGTGTTCGACTTGAAGCAGCGCTGCGCAGACTGATCAGTGTATGACATCAAAGTATCGTGAGAGCGGTTCTAGAGCATATTCGAGCGCACACTCCTACCATCAAAAATAGGCGAGGCGCATATCTTTAGCGAAGCGGCACGGAGAGCCGCTTCTGGGAAGCTTCTGAAACGTGCCACGGCGCCACTGGTGTACAAACAAGCATTGACTAGAGTGGCCACGTCTGAGCCGTAACACGGCGGTGTCATCGGTGACAGTAGCTCATTGGAAAAGGATGGAAAATGCCCTTCATTTCGTTTGCACTACTAAATGCTGCAGCCTGCCAGCTGCAATCACCAATAAAACGTTCCATGTTTTTTTTTTCTACATCGTCATAAATACCGTTATTGCAAATATTCTTGAAATATCGTGATATAATTTTGAGGCTATATCGCCACCCCTAATCACCATTTGATTTTTTTTAATGACTTGGTTATTTTGAAAATCTAAAAATGAGAAGAGAATCATTAACATAGTGGATCTAGAGAGGTGAATACTGTAAGAGTGATTCAGTGCATACCTGTATTTTACCCAGCTCTCCAGTGCTTTCCATCCGGCTGGCCACATTCACAGTGTTTCCCCAGATATCATACTGAGGTTTCCTGGCTCCAATCACCCCAGCAATCACTGGGCCATGGTTTATACCTGCACAAACAAACATGCACAGATCAATGAACAAACTCTGCAAATATGACATTTATATGATGTTTAAAAAAGCACTACTCATGCAGAATATTGCACTCCCACTTGCACTTCACAAATGAGCCAAACTCGGGGCACATGCAGAGATGAGTTCATGTGGAGCAGCATTTTCTGCAGTCTTTTTTATTTATTTCAATTAACTTGATAAATCTCACTAAACCATTTTGGTTTTATTTCAATTAGCCCTAGACTGTTCTGTTTTTAGTGTCACTGACATCACTCTTTAAACATCATAATTTTGGCTCACAGACATAATTGGTATCCACTAACTTAAAGAATTAAGTAGATCTAGTGAGACAGTGAGTTTGATCCGCAAGTGACTGCTGGAATGTGCTTTTCCCTTTTTCTAATAAAGTCTTTTAGATGGGATTTGTGCCTGTTATTATCATTTTTATCAGATCTCTGCCACAGATGGGCGATATGCACTCAGACTCTTAAATGGAGCATTTATGAAGCATTTTATGCCAGTTCCCGAGTGCATCTGTTACCCTGAGCTGCTCAAGATGCCTAAGATCTCTCTTATGAGCTGCCTCTGTTTTCAGTGAGATTTTTAGCTACATCTTGTACATATTGGTTTAATTTTTAACCCTTAATGCAGAAGTAAGAGATGCAAAGTCTAAAAAGAAATATCTATGCAATACCTGGAGGTAAAGTGTTTTTCATCTTGAGTCTGACTAAATGCAAGTATTAAATATAGCTGCAAGCAGCAATTAAAGTGCCAAGCACAACAGAGGTAAAATGAAGAGCTCAGGAACAGTCTTTAATTAATCAGTAAAGAGAGATGCGTTTATGCATTATTTTTTTTCTATTTTACGCATTAGTAGTAAATCAAGACTTTGCAAGTTCTCTTGTAAAATAATAATAAAAAATGGAATAAACTGTGTAGGCCTACAGAAAGCGAGTAAAGAACTCTCAACATTAGGCTACTAAAAAGGTCAGTTTAATCTCGCAAAAACTCCCGTTAATAAAACCTGACTACACTGCACAATTAATCTCTTACACTGCATCTTTGTTGTTTATGATGAATTCGGTGCTTGCACGTATATACACCGCTTTTATTATTATTGCAGCTTAGATGTTCAAATAGCTGCAGTACTCCGACTTTGCCACAAGGAAAAGTGCGTACGCCTGCTCAGACCCTGACGTGGCGGTAAGTACTTTTCCATGTCAAAGACCGTTTTTATAAACATGGATGGTGGATTTTAGCGTACGCACACTCTAAGATCAAATCTGTGTGTCCGCACATTTTATAAATCAGGCCTCAGGGTTCTCCGACCCTGCTCCAGAGCTACCTTACTGCAGAACTAAGGTTCAATCCTGCTTTAACACAACTGTCTGTAATTAAGTAGCCCTGAACACCTTAATTAGCTGGTTCAGATGTGTTT